AATTAATTTCGAACTCCTCAATCCACGGTGAACTGTCAAGGCAGAAATCTATAGTCAGGAACTGGAACATTTAAATCAAGCCCTTCACTCGTCAGTCAGGAAGGTGTTCTTCTTCTCCACAACAATGCATGTCCACGTGTAGCACATTTGATGCAACATGAAATTATGGACTTGGGTTGGGAAGTTCTGCCCCACCAACCATATTCTCCAGATATGGCACCATCAGATTACCATCTTTTTCGTTCGCTACAACACCATCTTAATGGGAAAACGTATGCAAATGTGGAAGATGTTAAAGAGGACATCGACATGTTTTTTGCTTCAAAGCCAAGTGATTTCTTTAATCAGGGCATTAACAACCTGATTGTAGGATGGAAAAACATCATCGATAACACTGGAGACTATTTCGTTTAATAAATGTTTTGTTTTGATATATATATAAGTTGTTCAGGTTCTTTCATTTAAAAAAAGCGACATTAATTTCTTGATGACCTAACAACTACATTAAAAAAATATTGCCTCTGATCGTAATTAGAGCTCAGGTAGTTAACAGCAGTTAGTGGTGGGTGCTGCCAGCATGTTGTCTTCCCTTCAATCAGCATATCAATATCAGTGGCAGATGGCCTTAGTAGATTTGCCATAATGAAAATAAGGCAAGCAAGTTTATTGCAATGGGAATCAATCCCAATACACCTGAATCACGAGATGCCCCAAATCACTAAGCCTTGCTGGCCAAAAGCTGAACAAATGGGAATATTAAAAAAAAGGGCTAACAATGTTAAAAACTTCTTTTGATACCCGCAGTAGGCAGAGTACATAAAGCCCATTATGTAACATTGTGCTTAACAACAAACATAATTGCGATACTTTGATTACTTGGATTATTAGAATAATCAGAAACCCTAATTTTGATCAGTTGATTATTTTTTTGCTAAGTGATTTAATCATAATTTTGATTAATCAATTGTTGGAATAATGGAAACCAATAATAATCAGAAACATTAATTAGTGATTATTTTTAAATAATTTTGATTAACTGATTGTTGGAATAATTTAAAGCAGAAATAATTAAAAATGGTAATTTCAATGAGCTGATTATTTTAATTACATTTATTCAATTGTAATTTTAATTAATCAGCTAATTTACTTGACACTAATGGCAACCGATCAATCGATTAAATCGCTGAGCTATAATCAGAATATTTTACAGCCTCTGATACTATTTTGAATTGTCTTGCTCGATCATCAAGAAAAGCCAGAGCTTTTTATATAGATTCAGTGGTCTCTAGACAGAAAGTAGCATTTATAGT